GAGGTGACAGAAAGTTTATATGTCTCTGACCTAAAGGAATTTGCCAGCAGCTAGGTGGTGTAGCTCTGGTGGAGTAAAACAGGGGGACAATAATCAGGAGATGACTTCAAATCTGGCCTCAAATACTTACTAGCTGTGTGACCTTGGGTAGGTAATTTAATTTCTGTTTGCCTCAGTTTCCTCAATTGTAAAATGGGCAAAAATAACAGTACCCACTTCCCAGGATTGCTGTGAAGATCAAGTGAGATATTTGCAAAGCACTTAGCACTGTGTCTGGCTCATAGCGGGTGCTATATTAAATGCTAGCTATTGGTATTTGTCTTTCTGCTCTTCCACCAGAGAGAAGGTCTGTCAGAACTATGAAGATTCAGATTCAGCAATCAGCCTGTTTTTCGGTACTACTTCTCCTTATATGTGGAATGAGTTGGACTAGATGACCCCTAAGGTCTCTTGCAGTTCTCCACCTGTGATCATCTCATGACTTGGAGGCCTATTCCCCAGCCCCATAGCTCCCCAGCATAGTAGTGGACCAACGACATTCTGGCTGGATGCCAAGACTGGTTGGCTAGGGGTTAATGGGGTATCAGTGCATGTGGAAATGACATTTAGTCATGTGTGGGCAGAGGAGAAGCTGCAGCCTGAATCTGTTCATGCCCCTTGATATTTTACCATCCCCCTTCCACAAGGGCTGTGCCCAGGGATATCAAAGCCCTCCCTAGGAGATCTCAAGAGCATTGCTTTGGAGGGATTTCCCCATATAAAACCAGGATCAATACATCTGTCAGGGAGGAGCCACATCACAGCCACTAATTAGTGTGGCGGCAAGCAGACAGACCACTGTTCTCATTCTATCTCATGTTGTTGTGAACTACAACTACTCTGGAGGCCCCCACGAGGGGAAAGGTTATGTGATTCTTTAATGAGAAGGGCTGTGAAATGAAAGGGTTAGGAGGTGAGTTTTCTGGGACTTGGTCCTTAATTTCCAAGTCTCAAGAGTATGGAGAAATCAGACATGGGTTGATTTCAACAACTTGCTATATAGCTAGATGGTTCAGTGGATAGCACACTGGGCCTGGAGTCAGGAAGACCTGAGTGCTGAGAGCTGTGTGACCTTGGGCAAGTCACTTAAACCTCTGTTTGCCTAGGAGGCATCTAGGCAGCTTAATGGATAGAGCACTGCGCTTGGATTGAGGAAGACCTGAGTTCAAATCCTACCTTAGACCCTAACTAGCTGTGTGACCTTGGGCATGTCATTTAACCTGTTTGCCTTAATCCACTGGAGAAGGAAATGGCAAACTACCCCCAGCATCTTTGCCAAGAAGACCCCATGGACAGTATTGGTCCAGGGCCTCGTGATTTCTTTATGATACAACTGAACAATAACAACATAGCTAGACAGAAGGAGCATTTATTATACGTTTACTATGTGCCAGGGACTGGGTTAAGTATACATAAACAAAATAGCCCTTGCCCTCAAGGGGCTTGCATTCTAATGGGGAAAGAAAGAGAAAGTAGAAGAAAGACTGGAAGGGAAGTGAGTCTCTGCAGATTTAGGCCAGAAACTCTATTTTTTTTTAATAGAATGAAGTCAGAAGACCTGGGTAATTTTAATAAGAGATAGCTAAATAAAGCATTGATTGTGTGCTTGCTAAATTCTAGGCACAGTGCTATGTGCTAGGATACAAATACAAAAGAATTAGACAGTCCGTACAACCTCAAGGAGCTTACATTCTAATGAGGAAAACAGCTCAAAAGAGGATGTTAGAAGGGCACAGTGGTATAATGCTACAATCAGGCATGCAGAAGAGAAAAGGAGAGTTGGAAAGACCAGGCCTGTGTGAGGTGAAGCTATCACTAGGGTCCTTCCAAAAATGGTGGCCCCAGGGAGGGAGCCACCCAGAACCAGGGTGGGTTTTTTTCATAGCTGTGATTTATACAGTGCTTCATGGATTAAAAAGCCATTTCCTCCCAATCATGAGACAGCACAGGTTTATAATTCAAGGGTCAATGACTTCATCCATGTAGACACTCCCTTCACCCATGCAGATTTCAGCCCCTCAGTGCTTTTAGAGATAGTTTTTGTAATTTGTGGCTGAAACGTGTCACCTGGTGGACAGTACTGTAGTAATGAGCCTTTCCACACTTAGCCAGGCAGAGCCTCTGAAAATGAAGACTACACGGTCTGCCTGCTGCCCAGCCCCTATCGAAATCTCCAACCCGGTCAGGCCAGCAACAGTTTGCATAGCCTCTAAGAACTCAGGATCATCTTCATACCATGATAAGGTGTCTGTAGAGACCTAATTTAGGGAAGGCTTAGAAGCATTATTCTCTTGGTTTTACAAGAAAAGGAAGCTATGTGACATGTCCATATAACACACTAATAAATGGTTGTATGGGTCCCTTGACCCTACCATTTTCTGACTCCCTAATTCAGTATTCTTTTCCACTGTACCTTACACCTTATGGCTTCTCACTTCTGATGGACCTATTAAAGTGTGGTGTGGCCTTGGCCAAGTCACTTAACATCTTTAGATTTCATTTTTGTCCCATTTTAAATGGTAGCTTGGGATCCTTGGTAGAACAGGGAGATGGGAAATGGGTATGGTAGGAGGCAGAGGGGTACTACATCTAAGATAAGATGACCTTGGAATATTAATAACTTTTGATAACTAACACATGTGAAGTTGGCCAGGTGCTTTTATATTCTTTTTTTTATTTGATATTTATTCTTATGAATTAAACACTACAGTTGTTTTTCCTATTTTGTAGGTAAAGAAACTGAGGTTTGAGACTTGCCTAGGACCACAGCTATTAGATGTCTGAAATGGAATTTAATCTCGAGCCTTCCTAATCAGTGATCTATCCACTATATCACTCTGCCTCTAAATGAGCAAAGTACATGTCTTGTGTGTATAGTGGGTGTGGGGGGATACAGGGGTACACTCAGAGAGTTACAAGCAAAACAGCCAAGGGACAAACTGGAAAACCAGTTGTTTGGCGTCCTGTAGACAAAACAACTGGTTTGTTGACCTAGTTCTGACTCTTCAGTTGGGTTGCCGTGTAGACACAGCTATCATGTGCAGTCCATCAGCACCAGGCTCATACCCCACCCTCTACTGAATGCTGGGAAGTGAACAAGGGAAAATAACATGCCTCTTAGGACCAGGAAGCTCATAATCTAGCAGGGGTGACAGGATGCACAGATGCACACAAACACAGGGGATATAAAAACAGTTGCAAAGAAACCTGTAAACTGCTACAAATGATTATTATAGAACGCACTGTGTAAACAGCTCAGAGGGCACAGTGATAGTACAGCTAGAGTTAAGTGGGGTTTAATCGGGGAAAGCTTCCTACAGGAGAGGACATCGAGGGAGGCTGGAAGAGCCCTTCTGGGAGAAGTTGCCCAGAAGCCACTGCCAGTCTTTCGTACCCAGGTTTCCTGGCAGCAGACACAGGCCCACATGATTACCCTCTGCAAACATCTCGACAGCGGCACCGCATGGAGGACTCCCCAGACAGTCCTTGCTGACGCCTGCCTCCCCTCACCCTGCCGTATTTCTACTACATCTCACTCCTACCCTGTCTTTGGGGTTGACCTTGAGCAGTTTATCTGACTCCTGGAGGACAAAAAATGAGCAAGGGGGCTAGGCAAAACAGGCATTGGTTACAGGCAGGCAGGGCCCAGCCACATTAGAGGAGGGGGCCGCTTCATTAGCTCCCAAATGACCATCCATCAACCCCACACTGATTACCAGTGTGTTCTAGCCCAGTGGGGGACTCTATTATGGGTGCCACAAACAAGAGGCATAAATCTATACAAGTACCAGGCAGGAAGGGACCATGGGAACTGCCTTGGACACCTTTCTGGATGCCGACACATCTATTATCCAGAGATGTACCATAATGGGCCAATCAGATAAGGTAACACTTGGGGAAGGGGAGGGGTGAAGAGTGGGGATAATAAATAAAATAATCCCATGCATTGTTACTTCCATAGGCTCCAATTTTATTCATACACTGGGAAAAACCTGTCTTTGTATTCCCATTTATGTCTCAAAGCTATGTGCAAAGTCCAGGATGTGAAATCCCAACCATCCTAGAGCAACTTCCTGATAAAGGCTACACTGTCTCCGATGGGGAAAGAGGAAAGGAAAAGTGTGTCCACACATATAACCTAAAAGAATGGGTTTTCTGCCGTTTTCCTCATGTGTTCTCTGCTTTCTGATGGAAATTAGCCATAACATGACAATTCTTTAGCACACTGTACTTCCTTCACATGGTACTTTGCTCACAATAACCCTATGAGATAGGAAATGCAAACATTTTCAACTCCATTTGATTATACAAGAGAAAATCCAGGCTGGGGGTGTGGGGTGCGGTGTCAGGTGACTTGCTCAAGGTTACACAACTATTAATATACAGAGCTAGACAAACCAGGGGTTCTTTGACCCCAGATTCAATGTTCTTGCCACTATACTCCACAGCCTATCCAGCCCGAGTCTGCTTTGATCTGGTGTGACCTTGGGCAAGTAACCTAACCCCTTTGGGTCACTGTAGCCTACTACTCTGCTATGAGCCAATCTTTCCTCTCAAAACTTCCTTAGTAGAGAACAGAATTTTGTTAGAGAGCTAGTAATGAGGCTCTGGTGTATGCTGAGACACAGAGGGCATGCAGCAATCCTTGCTAACAGAGCACAGATAGTCTAGGGCAGAAGGAGAGACTAAAAAGTAATTTCTCTTTGGCTTTGGAACATATGAGGTGATTATTTTGCAGCAGATTTACCTCCCTAATTAGGCAGGCAAATACTCAAATGAGTTTGCGTTCCCTGAGTACACATCGATGGACAGAACAGTAGGGCACTCTGGGAGAAAGGGCCAGGATGAAAAACTTGCAGCAGAGAATCCACAGAGTAGATAATCTGTACATGGATCACTGAGGGTTGGCTATTAATTATTAACATAATTGACAAATAAATGACAATCTTGCTGCCTTCTATCATGTTCTCTAAGGAGAGAGAAATCCAGGCTCCTGACTGTGAGTTGTGGGGATCCCATGCTAAAGAGATTGGCCCTGCTTGGTGTCTAGCACCCAGTGCCCAGGGTGGGGGTACAGGGGTAGGGGTGGGGAATGGGCAGAGGCCTCGAAACTCTTTTCATCCCTTGAGATCAAAGCACCCAGCAAATCCCTTCCCCACTCCTGGAGGTGGAGGGGCCTGTCCTTTGTCATCTCTCTTGGCCTCTTGTTTCCTATCTGCCCCATGGGAATCACTGGTTCTGGCTTTGGTGAGTACTAGGTGAGAGCTAGGTAACAGAACCTTCCAGAGGCTTTGGCCTGGGGCTGGCTTTGGCAGCATCAGCTTCCCAAGTCCTGGACCCACCCTCAGCACAGGGCTAACTCCCTGCTAGTCACAATTCCCTAGGTGTTTCTCTTGGTAGAGGTAGCAGCCTCTAATCTTTCCAACTCAGTAAGGTGGGAAGGACCCCAAGTGACATATACTTGAATGACAAGCATGTTTATTAATATTAAGCACCTATAAAATTCCAGGCACTAGGCCAGGTTCTGAGGCTACGAAGACAGTAAAAATAAACAGTCCATGCCCTCGGAGGAGTTTACGTTCTATGGGGGGAGGAGAAAAAGAAATAACATATACCCGAAGTAAATTCAAAACATATATCAAGTAAACAAACAGGACTTAGAGCGAGAAGGCAAGTTGGAGATGATCCCAGTCCAATGCCCTCATCTTAAGGAGGAAAGGCCCAGGGCTATTAACTGACTGGCCTAAGGGAATAACCAGCAGAGTCAAACAGAATTCAAACTCAGGTACTCTGATTACAAATGAAGGGCTCTCTACATTGCATGTCTGCAATACTACACTTCAGGGGTGGAATGCTAACATTCCCAAAATAGTGGTCAGTGGTCGTGGCAAGATATTGTAGGACCAAAGCAATGCTTTCAAGATACTTCAAGAATACTGCAATATCACCCCCACACAGTGCTAATATTCCAAAGATATTCCCGGACACAATGATAATAGCACCCAAGACACTCCTTCCTATCTAAATACAACTATGAGCATGATCTAATACACCAGTAAAATTAACTTAGAGAACATGGGGATTCAGTAATGGTTCCAGGAACAAAAAGTCTACCTCATTTACTTTCTCTAGGTTGACGGTGCTGTCCTCTGTGTATGAAGATGCTGCTTCTAACCCTTTTACTCCTGTAGTGTGGATGAGTCTGCCCCAAGTCACCTACAGCTACATCGGTCCCCCTTGTGGTCAACTGCACTTATCTGCAAGATGACCAAAAGACTATCTGTGGCCTGTGCAAAAAAGCACCAAGGCGACCAGAGTCCTTGGAGGATGTGAAGGATGGATCCAGGCCTTTAGGCCTCATTACCATCAGATAAGCTAAGTGCCTGTAGACACATTTGTTAGCTTCATCTTATCATTTTATTTTCCTTCTAGATGAAGGTGGTTCTGGTAATGGGTAAAATAGGAACTCGGAAATATGAGCAATAAGTGGGGGGTGGGGGCAGCAGCTTCCACAGCTCATCTTCTGATTGCCCTGGCCCAGCTGGCTGGCTACTATCCTGTAAGTCTTTCCCTGTAGCCAAGGTCCTGTGCCTCTCCTGGGTAGGTAAGGCTGTGTCTAGGTCCTTCTTTTCCCCCTTGTTCAGGAAAACAAACAAACAAACAAAACAAAACAAAACAAAGAATCCTTTGGCCTGTTGGGCTCTGAGACATCTCAGACATCCTTGGGGAATGAGGGACATGACCATGATTTTCAAAAGGCTGGGTCATCCCGGGAAGGAAGTGGGTGTAAGCAGGGTTGAGTAAGGGTTGTTTGTACTGCTCTCCAAGGCCACACTAGGAAGCTTTGGAGTCCCTTCTGATACAGTGTATCTTTTAACACTTTTCCCAGCCAAACCAGTGTGGGAGAGAGTACTAAGAACAGAGTCTTCTTCCAGCATTGTTGCTATGTAACCCTTGGCCCTGGGAAGCTTGTCTTTTTCACCAAACCCTCAAACCCCTCTGACGGGTGTGTTTGGCAACCTGCTCCTCCAAGTACTCTACAAAAGTTATTTCACACCTCCTCACCATAGCCCTGGGAAGGGAGCAAAGATAATGCTTCCTAATGAGTACTTCTTCACCAATAAGCATTTATTAAACAGTCACTGTGTCAAGTCAAGTCAAGACAAATTTTTTAAGCACTAAGCAAACACGTCAGGCACTGTGCTAAGCAGTGAGAATACAAAGAGGAAAAAACCAGTCCCAGCTCTCAGGGTGCTCAGTCTAATAGGGGGAAAATACAAAGATAACCATGTCCAAATACCTATCTATCTAGACACTCACAATAAGGAAGATGGGGAAGGTCTTCTTACAGAATGTGGGATTTTGGTTAGGACTTCAAGGAGGCCAGGAAGTAGAGATGAGGAACAGAATTCCAGGCATGGGGGACTGTCAGCAGAATAGCAAGCAGACAGGTTTAGAGGGCAGAGTATGAATATGACAGTAAGGTGTAGGTAGAAAGGGGCCAGATTGCTAATCATTTTAAATCTAAACAGAATTTTATATGTTTTATATGTGACCCCACACAGGGATACAAGAACAAAAATCTAAACAACCCCTTGCTCTCAAGTTATTTTTTTTTTCTTTCTAGGGAGATAATACAGTAGACCTTACATATAGAAGTGCCTATGCAATAAATACAGAAATCCAGTCAATGATGGGGAGGGAGGGGGAATTCAGGCATTTAGGCTCGTAGCTGGAAAAGTGCCACCTGACCTCTCCTAAAGGATGGATCCATTTAGAGATGGCTAGTTGGTGATAGACCTGAGTTCAAATCCTGGCTCAAGATACTCTATAAAATGGGTATAATAGCACCTACTTCCAAGGGTTGTTAGGATAAAATGAGATAATATTTATAAAAACTACTACACAAATGCTAGGTATTAGGTTGGTTTTTTTGGGGGCGGGGTTAAGGTGGTTAGAAGAATACTCATTAGGGTATTCTAGAACTGAGGATGGATAAGATGATGTCTAGGACCCTTTCTAATTCTAGAAATTTATGATTCTTAGACTTCCTATTACATGCTCCAATCAGGCTAAAGTTCATCAGAGGTGTCTCTTGTGCTTGTGGCCAATGCTACTGTACCACTTCCCCCCCTCCCCCCTGCCCTGCTGCCCGTGTGCTCTGCCTGGCAGCTGTGGACCTACTGGAGCCACCAGCCAGTGGAACTAATGTCCTCTAATGAGATCCAGGGCTGGAATAGCCAGGCGGGTTTATTGTCTTTGGCTGGGTAATGAGACTCCTCATAAACCGGGAAAAATCGGGGCAGCACAGGGGAGGAAAGAGTGTGGGGGCAGGGGACCGAGAAGAGGCTCTGTGTTTTCCAGATTTCATCTTCATGCAGAGGAACTCTTCAGTCTAATGAGTATGAACACTTCCCATCTCCCATTCCCCCTTTTGGTGGATCAAGTATTGGACATGGAGTCAAGGAAGACCTGGGTTCAAATCCAATTTCTGATCCTGTGTGTGACCTGGGTGAGTAACTTAACTTGATTTAGAGCTGGAGGTCACTTAACTCGTGATTCATCACAGAGGGCACTTAGTCCAACCTCACTTTACTGAAACCAAGAGACTCTTAAAAGCAATCACTGAGCCTCCTCATTTTCCTCATCTGTAAAATGGGGAAGATAGCATGTACCTCCCAGGGTTTTTGTCAAGACTCAAGTAAGATAATTTTAGCAAAGTGCTTGGTAGACTTTATCTTTATCACTGGAGGGAACTCCCAAATCTTTAAGATCACAGATCCATTTGAGAGTGTTTTTGGTTTCTACTGCAGACTTCTGCTTTCCTGATACTTCAGACCCTATACTCACCTGTGCCTGTTTGTGACTCCACACCAATATTTAACTGGGTCTCACTGAACATGCATCAGATATGGAGCCAGAGGACTTGGGTTCAAATCCTGTTCTGATGATCCCTTTTATGAGCCTCTGGGTTTCAGTTTTCTCATCTGTAAAGTGGGGTAGGACTAAGTGACCTCTGGTTCACTCCAACTCTAAATCAATGATCCTGTTAGTTAATTAAGTCAACAAGCACTTATTATGCTTTTGTTACGGCCAGGCACTGAGCTAAATGCTGGAGTACAAATAAAAGCAGAAAGACAGTTCCTGTCCTCAAGGAGCTTACATTCTGTTCGGGGGAAGACAACACATAAAAGGAAGCTGGAAAAGGGGAAGAGATGAAGGTACCCTGCCTAAGGACGCCATAGAGAAAATCCAAAGTTGAGAGTGCAGCCTGGAAAAGAATGAAGAACCTCCTTGAAATGGAGGTTCCAGGAAGAACCAGAGGGGGAGCCTGTAGGGACAAGATACTTCCCACGTGTATCCAGGGGTGGAGTGAGCTTCCAGTTTAAACAGGCTTCCATGGCATGTTAGAGAAGGTCTGGAATACAGCCTAGAGAGGACATCTTCTGGGGTCATCCTTAACTCTTCCTTTTGAGATCCATTCTCTTGTACTGCAGTGATGGCAGCCAGTAGGGGCCATTTACATCAGCCTCTGACAAGTTACTTGTTTCCTCATCTGTAAAATGGGCATGCTACTACCCACCTATCTCACAGGGTTGTTTGAAGGAGAGCACAAATGTGAGATGCTATTACAAATATGATCCCGTTGGACACTGTAATCTCAGCTTGGTTAACCCTGGGCTCTTTTCCTTCACTTTTCTTTTGACTCACCCTGATTCTCTAAGCTTCCTTCACTCCTCGGAGAAATAAATGGTCTCAGCTTACAAAGAGAAAGAATCACAGGGTGAAAAAAAAGGGGATGACTTTCTGAGAGGGAAAGTTGTGAGGACAGAGGAAGAGGTAGTTTTGGGGAGAATTATCTGCTCTCCCGATCCCACCACTACTTATGCCTTTGATCCATCTCTAGGTCTGGGGCTCAGAGGCCAGGAAATGGGCAAGATGACTTCTGCAAAGACTTATTAGTACTGCTCTATTTGAAGTCTCCAAGTAGGACCAAGACTAGATCCCAAGGATTCCCTTTCAGCTCCTGGCTGCTCTTAGGGAGAGGACCCCAGATGGCCAACAAAGCCCCAGCTGGGCAGGGAGCCAGCAAGAGAAGATGGGAGTGCCAAAAGGCTCCTCCATGAAATGGTACAGAACAAAGGCTTGGCCATACCTGTTGCTGGGGGAGAATTTGACCACTGGAGCATTCAGGTGCCAACATCTGTGTAAGGAGGCCACCTGACTCTCCCTCCAGTGACTATTGCTACAAACACAATTTCCAGTCAGAGGGAGGGGGGCAGCTTTTGGAGGGAGAGAGGATGGTTCTCCAAGCTGTTCTTGGACTTCTTTACATCTGTCCCAGGTGGCCTCAATAAGAGGTTGGAGACTTCTGAGTTCTCTTTCAAGGAGAAAAGAAGGGGCTCACCTTCCTGCTTCCAGTGGAACCGAAGTACCCACTAACCAAAAAGTTAGCACAAAGAAGACCAGATCCGGGGCCTCAAGGGTAGAGATGCCAAGTATGTCTACTCTCTGCAATCACTCCAGGGCGAGAAGGGGCAATCGTCAACTAATCAAGTACTCACAATGTGAGGCAAGTACAAAGAGTGAAATGATTCCTTCTAGAAATGACCTGACATTCTAATGAGAAAGTCAAAAACGTGTAAAAATATATACATACAGCATAAATATAAATTTAATAAATACAAACATGTAAAGAATGGTTTGGGAAGGTGGGCACTAACAGTTGGAGAGGATCAGGAAAGCCTTTTAGAAGATGGTCCTTTGAGCTGCATCTTCAAAGAGAAGGATTCTATGAGGTCGAGGTAAGATGGTATTGAATTCCAGGCACTGGAGGGGAAAGGGGGCAAAGGGCTCTCTCATCCCATGGCTATGGGAAATGGAATGAGGCAAAAAAGAGAGGACAAGGTTGGCCAGATCACAGCATACAGGAAGGGAAGTCATTTCCAATGAGGCTGGAAAGAGAGTTGGGGCCAGGTTGTGAGGGATTTTAAAAACAGAGGAATTCATATTTTTATCCTACAGGCAATAGGAAGCTACTAGAGTTAGGGGAGTCACATGATCAGATCCACGCTTAAGGAAAATTGCTCTGGTCTGTAGTTTCCTGCTCTAAGGTCAGGGTGGAATGTTCTTTCCAAAGCAAGCCAAGCATTTCCCCTACTAAGCAGATTACCCAGGGCCTCAGGACATTTCCATGCATACCCCCTTGGATAGGCAGGACGTGATAATGGAAAGACCACAGGACCAGAAAAGAAGAGAATTTAATTTGGCTTTAAATCTTGATATTTATGAACTATGTGGTAATAAGAAGTTACTTAATTTCTCCAAACCTCAGTTTTCAGTGGCCATAATAATACTTGCCCCACAACATTGTTTCAAGGAAAAGTATCTTAGGGGGCAGCTAGGTGGTACAGTGGAGAGAGTGCTGGCACTGAAGACAGGAGGACCTGAGTTCAAATCTGTCTCAGACCAAATACTTGACACTTATTAGCTGTGTGACCCTGGGCAAGTCACTTAACCCCAACTGCCTAAAAAAAAAAAAGAAAAAGTATCTTTAGGGGCAGCTAGGTGGAGCAGTGGATAGAGCACCAGCCCTGGATTCAGGAGTACCTGAGTTGAAATCCAGCCTCAGACACATAACACTTACTAATTAGTTGTGTGACCCTGGGCAAGTCACTTAACCCCACTGCCTAGAAAAGAAATATTGGTAATATTGGGAAAATACCATAGTTTCTATACAGACAACTGGTCAAATTTCTCACTATACCCAAAGCTTTCTGTCCTGCCCAGGCCAAAGGCAAAAACAGTTATTCTTCTCCTAGACAGATAGTAGAAGCTCAGAAAGGGTCCCAAGGATCGGTGGGATTTCTGATGTCTCCCCAGCTCCATTCTCCTTTCGCCTACCCCAACCTACTACCAGCCGAGCCCAGGCTTACAGCATTACCAATACAGAGTGTGTTATCTCTGGCTAGGGGAGTGGGGGAGGGGAGGGAATCCCTGTAGAAAGGTGATTCTAACCTAGATCTCCAGTTACCTGAGTCCCCTGCCAATCCATCTGTAGCTCAATAGGAGGAAGGCTGCAGCCCACGGAGGAAAACGCTCCTCAAAATGTGGCTAGGTCTGGTATTGCCCTGTCCTACAATCAGAGACCCAGGCAGAGCACTCCCCAGCCAGAGTCTCTCACATCCAATGAGCTCTCAGGGTCCCTTTCATAATCAGCATTAGCATGAAAATGTTTGGGGCAGGAGAGTTTGGAATGGGAAGAGCCTGCATTCAAATGCTGACTCTGCAATTTAAGTCAATCCACAAGCATTTATTAAGCACTTATTTACTCAGTGTCTGGCCCGGCAATAAGATGCTGGGGATTCAAAGGGGCTTTTTGCCCTCCAGGACCTCACAATCCTTCAGGGAAGACAAATGCAGATATGTAACCTTGGGTAAATCACTCCCATGATTGGGCCCCTCCTCAATTTAGGATCATAGATTTAAAGGTTGGAAGGAACCAAGGAAGATGCCTAGTCCGACCCACTTGATTTACAGATAGGAAAATGAAATCCACAGAAATTAAGGGATGACCAAAATCATTTCAGTAATAAGCCACAGAGAGAGAAGAGATTCGGAGTCAGATATAACACTTTCCAATGCACCATCCTGCTTTCTCACCTGTGAAAAGCTGTGGCTCTTTTTAACTCTAAGTCCTGTTTTCCTTTGTGTAATGCTGCTAAGCATATGTGTCACTGACCCCAACATACGGACCCCTCAGAGATGCTCAGGATTGACTGAGGTCCCCACTGGGATTAGCTATTGAATGAGCAGCAGATATGCCCATTCCCCTCTTCTAAATCCCGCACTCTCTCCACCCTCTAAGGAAGAATCCTCTTCCCTACAGGATAATGTAAAGACAACAAGCAAATGTTGGAGAAACCCTTCTGAATGCCCCTCCCAGAAATTCAGGGATCAAGACAACTCACTGGAAAAGCCTAGGCAAGGATGGACCCAATTTTAACCTCAGAGAAGGGGACAAGGTGGGAGAAGGAGACTTGTCCTCTTTGGCCTCCCTGCCATAATTAATGCTTGGAATGAATTTCACATTCCAGCCAGACTCCTACCACATACTCTGTATTTCAGTCTACCTCTCATCCCTAAGCTTTTGCATAAGCTGTCCCCCAGGCATGGAGTGCCATCCCTCTCAGCCCCACCTCAAAAAGCCTCTGGTTTGGGGTGAGCTAGGTGGTCCAGGGCACCGGCCCTGAAGTCAGGAGGACCTGAATTCAAAAAGGGCCTCAGACACTTACTAGCTGTGTGACCCTGGGCAAGTCACTTAACCCCACTGCCTAGCCAAAAAATAAAAAAATTTAAAAAAGCCTCTGGTTTCCTTCCTTCCATCACCTACTAGAAGATCTTTCTGGTCCCCCAAAGATGTTAACACTCTCATTTGACTTCCTTGGGTATGTGTTATAACCTCGGTAGGTTGTAAGTTTGTTGACAGCAGGGAATTATATAAAAAAGTCTTTGTAGCCTCAGCACCTAGCATAGTATCTTGCTATCTATACTATAATATAGTATGATATAGATTTATACAGTATCTATATTTGATATTTAATAAATGTTTTTTGAATGAATGTGGTCCCTCTATCAAGCATTTTTCTTTTCTTTCTTTCTTTTTTTTTTGAGGCAATTGAGGTTAAGTCACTTGCCCAGGGTCACACAGCTAGTAAGTGTCTGAGGCCCTTTTTGAACTCAGGTCCTCCTGATTCCAGGACAGGTGCTCTATCAAATCTTTCTTGCTCCCCTCAGCTGAAAGTGCTGTCTCCTTCCTTGTATTTCTTAGAGTACTTGTATATATTAGACCCCTCTACCTTGAATCATTTCTACTTGCTTATGTCCTATTGAAATTATTGTGTCTTTTTTGAGGGCAGGAACTTTGCATCATTGCATCTGGAGTAATCAGCGGAGAGTCTTGCATATTGTAAGCACCTAAATAATATATATTTGTTGAGCTAAATTCCCCAGACAGAGGAGATGGAAAGGGGCAAAGGGGTACATAGGTGGGGGAAAATTACTACAAGAGTTCTCCTAAAACCATAGGCACATGATTAAGTGGGTGAATCGAACCCAACAAATCTAAATTCATGGTCAAGATCAGAGGAGGATTCAGGGTTCAGATCCTTGAATTTCCCATTCTGAGGACATCTAGATGGTGCAGTAGATAGAGAGCAATGGGCCTGGACTCGGGAAGACTGGTTGGTCTCAGACACTAGTTGTGTGTGACTCTGGCCAGGTCACTTCACCTGTTTTCCTCAGTTTCCTCCACTGTAAAATGGGGATAATAGCACCTCTTTTGCAGTGTTGGATAAAATGAGATATTTGCAAAGCACTTAGCAGACTGCCATATATGCCCTTCTTCCCTTCTCCCATTCTTAATGACTAGATTGAATGTGGCCAGATTATTTGGTAGAATATTAGAATTGTAAAGGAACTTTAAAGGTTACTTGGCTCAACCCAAGTAATTTATTTATTTGTTTATAAAATTTTAATTTATCTTAATTTATCTTAAATAAAGGGAGGAAAATAGGCCCATGCAGCAATACGCATGTGCATATACGATATGCATATACATACAGTTGCCCTGCTTGTGTAGAGACATATTCAAACAGAACTTGAGAACCAGAGAATTCAGAATCAATACTGCAATCCTAATCTGGAAGCTGGTGGTTGCACACATATATGTAGACACACAAAAATACTCCTTCCTACCATTCCCCCATTTGCATGCTGACCTGTAGACCTGGCCCTCTACAAGGTGAGTTGCATGCTGACCTGTAGACCTGGCCCTCTACAAGGTGAGCCCTGAACACAGAGTCACAAGCCCACCTGTATGAGCGAGCACTCACACAAGGTGGTAAGATGTTTTTTACCTTAAGGGTAACAGTCAGTATTCCACTTATAAGCTAAGGTCCCCTAAAGGGGAGAAGCTGGCAAATGAGTAATGCAAGTGAAAAGGACTTTTCTTTCATGCCTCCCCACCCCCACCCCAAGAGGTGGGAGCTGCTGAATTTTATCAAATGAAACCGGAAATAAAAAATTAGCAAATCAAAGGTACCACCACATCTCTTATGTATTTTCTCACTGGAGGCTGCAAATCAGCCGTGGACACATTCAAAGCCATTCTTATGGCTCCCCCGACCCCTACACAGCACATCCCCCATGCAGGGCTTGTGTTCAACAGTGGTGAGACACTTGTGCTCAAAGCCACCCATGTTTCCTTAGCCTATCCCCCTCCCCACAACTGGGCTTGGATTGGGGGTGAGAGCCTAAAGGGTGGTGGTGGAGGAGGTCAGGAAAAGCCAATGGCCAGTTAGTTGTAGATTTTTTCCTGTGCAAAGAAAAGTGACTCATAAGGGAACTAGACCTACGACATAGATTTTCCTAGTCTTTTTAGAGAGGCACAGGCATGTAGACATTCCCTCTATCTCACTGCCCTTACTGACTATCCCCTCTATTTCCCTCTCCCCACATATAGACGTGGATGTTAGACACTTGCCTCAGAGCTTAGCTCAGCTCTCCTTAGCCTCTGATGTAATAGCTTCTTCTTCCCTTCCTCCTCATCTCATCTACCTTTGCTTGCCTCTATATTCCACATGCCCATTTTCCTCTTGGCTTTTGGAACTGAGAAAGCTGTCCTAAGTTATTTTCAGTGCCCCCCTCTCTTCCTAGGTAAGCATCATTCCAATTCCAGCTAGCTAGCATCCGAAGAAATCCTGGATTGGCAGAGTCTGGTGTTTTCCTAACGATACTGATTGTGATACATAGTATATATGAGAAGGGAAGAGAAGTGAAGAAAAATAATATTCCAGTTTTCATAGGGAGCAACCACACCAGATATTTGCCAAGGCTGTAGTTAAGGGGCATTCCAGTTGTGGCCACAACAGGTCTTCAAACCAATTCACAGGGGTGTGTATGTTTTCCCTTTGACAACAAAAGGATTAGAGAAACCAATTAAGAAGGGTGGGGTGTATATAGATGGGACACTCTCCCACTTCTTCTAAATAATGCTCTCCCCCCCTTCAACTCCCCACTGCCCCACTCTAATTTGGTTCCTGACACACTCTAAGTAACGGTGAGTGGTAATAATAGATTTCAATTCCAGGAAGCAGAGAGAATCCAGGATTTCACTGCCCTGAGTAACAAAGTCTGTGTTGCTGAAAACATATTTCTGTTTATACTTCAACAGCCAGATGGGGAGCATTTCAAAGTCAGGGGCCCCCACGCACACTCCGGGGGCTCCGCTTCTCTCTACTTCCCCCTCCCCAACTAGGCTGTCTCCTCAACAGCCTCTCGGCTTCCTGCCATAGCCCAGGCAGAACCTGGAAAAGAGCAGTAGGGCCAGCGAGACTGGCTCCCCCAGAGGGAAGACGGATAGAAGCAGCCCTAGCTCTGAGCAGAAAGGACTGCTGGATGGGAAGAAAGGCTGTGTGACCTTGGGTAAGTTGCTTAATCTCTCTGGTCTTCTGTGCCTCCATTTGTGCAATAGAGGAAGGTATCATTCCCTGCTCTTCCCTAAAACTGCTGGAAGAATAAGCCAATAGGATCTGTAAGAGTGCTGAGAGATCTACTTAGGAGGAAAAGAGCTAGGGAAACCTAAGGTTTAGTCCACAAAACTTAGCCTCTGATGATTCAATACATCCATCAATTAGTCAATCAAAAAGCACTTAGTGCCAATCTGTGCTGAGATTCCCTTCCTTCTCATCCTGGAGCAGGATTCGTGTCAAGCACTTGTGCTCAGGGCACCAAGCATCTGTGCCCCCTCCCCAGAGGTGGCAGGCAGGCAGCTGAGTCAGTCCCCAGCCCCACAGGAGGAATGGGGCCCTAGGGTATCACACTAAGGAGAAGCATAAGACAACAATGAGACAGCGTGGAGGCTTTGTTTCCCAGTCCCCAAAAGCTTCCTGGCCATGGTCCTGTCCCCAGCCCCACGTGTTAACCCCTGGTGCCCTAGGCAGACCACTGCCCTCCTTCCTACAAATTTTTGGGGATGTTGAGAAGGAAAGAATGAAAAGATCCAAGGCTTACAGACAATAGGTACCAGGTGTTTCCAGTTGGTCCCACAGCTTCCCAAAGCCCCCAAAGTGTGCGTGTGGGGGGTGTAAGGGACAGGGTAGAGCTTTTATCAAGTTCTAGGTCCTGAAGAAAAGATGATGATGTCCATCCGAAGTGGGCAGTGCCACTGTCAGAATAGGGAAGACCAACCCACTTACTGAACTGGTCATGTATTCCAGTTTTCTTGGCACCCCATTAAGAGCAGAGACCAGAATGGGGCAGCTAAACATTACTGCAGTGCTACCTTCCTCTACCTTCTTTGCCAAGCCCATTAGACAAACGCCTCCCTATGATTTTCCACCTTTCTTCCTCCCTGCTCCCCACCCCTCTACCTTCCAAGGCAGGTTTGGCCTCTTCTGGACTACCGGCTCCTATGCCCCCTGCTGGGTCGGTGGCACTCACTACTTGCACCCAGACACTCACTGGCAGCCAAGCAAGAGAACCTAATACCTCCCCCCTTCTCATCCCAATACAAAAAGGGTCTCTGTACTTATACCTCCAGATTCCAAGGTGAAGATCACGTGTTTCAAACAGGACACTCTTCCCCCCCAACACACACCAGGGGGAAGGGGGGGGAAGAAATAAGCATTTATTAAACGTCTAATCTGTGCCAGGTACTGTGTTAAGCGCTTTACAAATATTGTTTCATTGGATGATTTCATTGATTGTGGTGATAGAGTGTTCTTATTTCATCTTCCTGGCCACGTAAAATGCATGTTGCCTTCTGGCCTCTTGCTAAAAGGTTGGTAGCCCCCATGGGGGCAAAGGGACAGTGTGCTTCAAGGGGTTAAGAACATTAAATTTGCCTCCCAAACGTATTTTCCAGTTCATTTCCCAGCACAATACACCCCTGCCTGTCCCTGCCTTCCCTCTTCCCTCTCGGTATCTGAATGGGCAGACGCGAGCCACCTTTTGTTGGTTCCCCCGGACTCCGGGCTTTGGTTAACCCCATGGTTGCCGACAGGCCCACACCCTGGGACGGGCGGGGGCACCCCCGGGGGGATGAATGAAAAAGTGGGTCACGCAGCCAGCGAGACTACAGGAAGAATGAGCACCTCCTCAGAGCAGACCTCCTCGAGCTGGGGAGGGAGTTTGGGAAAGGGGGAATTCAGTTCCAGGACCTTCTCCATACATCTTCCCCAAGGATTCAATCCCCAGCCCTGCCCACCCCCCACCCCCCGGACTCCTAACCCAGCCTCACTAGAAAGCCGCAGGTGAGAAGTAATCTTTCTCAGACTCGTCTACCTAGTGCCGCAGGAGCCGAAGACCTAGGGCACTCAGATTTAGGGGGAGCCCCCAGTCCCTGAAACCCATTTCAGGGAGAAAAGAATGTCAGACAAGAACGCTTTCCCGCCGTAAGCCATTTCCTAAACCCTCAGCCCACCAGCTCTGAGACTGACACCTTCCCCGGAGGGGTTGTTGTATCGGTACCCCGAGAAGGTAATTACGATGATTATTTTGCATTTATGTAACACGTAGTGTTTCCAAACTGCTTCCAGAGCAGAGAGCTGGTTATTAAATAAATAGAACGCGATTACATATTATTATTTAAAAAAAAAAACCCTCCGCAAGAAAGTGCTTGCTTTCCACGGAGAAGCCTGCATTTCACCAGCTCCCAGCAGGTCTGCCTGGGTTTCTCAAAGCTTCAGTCTCGCTCTCTTCTTCTCCCACCCCCAAACCTTACCTAAACCACGATTCAACTTTTCTGGTCCCTCTCATTCCCCACAAATCAGACGCCTGCAGTCCAGCCACATAGCGCCTAGCCTCTCCAAGGATGTGAGCCTAGAAGGGACGAGGGTGAAAAGAAGAAAACCGCTTACCTGGGAGGAAAAGAGTGGCCAAGCTAAGAGCGACAGCCCACCGACAGCCAGAGACGACCGCATGCCCCATCCGAGCCATTGGGGGGCTGTAGGTCCTGGGAGAGGGGGTCCGAGGAGAGCTCTCCTCCCTCTCCCGAAACGATCCCCAAAGACGAGCAGGGATCAATATTGGGTGGCCGGCACTCCGAGTATCCAGGTCAGCTCTCTGCAGTATGTCAACTCGGGATCTGATACAGCAGGGGTGCCCAGGTCGCAGGCACAAACCGGCCCCCCAGGGCAGCCGGCTCAGAGCCTCGACAGATGCCCGCCGCAAGTTAAACGAGTCATGCCCCGTCTTCTCCTTTCCCTCTTCCGCCCCTCCCCGCCCTTCTCTCCCTTCTCTTCCACGCAGCCCCCGGCTGGGGCAGGAGGGAACTCCCTCCCCCCCCCGCCCCGCGCAGCTTTGGGCTCCTCTGGTTCCCGGAGCCCAAGTGCAGTCTGCCTCTTGATCTTCGGGGTCTCTGGGAGCAAAAGGAGGGGTGCTCGGCACAATCAATCAAACAGTCCCCGTTCGCTCCAAGTTGCAGGCATCCATGGCTGGCCAGGGTCCTCCGAGTGTGGGCTCCAGGCGGGCTCCGGGGCCCAGGATCCTACAGCGCTGCGAGGTGACTGGACTACCTCGAGGGCTTCTCGCAGCATCCGAAAGGAGAGAGTCCCCCTCCTTCCCTCTCTGTCTTTCCCTCTCAGCCTTCCTCCCGCGAGCTGCAACAATGTAGCCCACATCCAGCACGAACACACACTCTCTCTTTCTCACACACACACAGCTCCCAGCCTCTCACCCTCTTCCAGTGATGTCAGACGGGAGGAGGAGGGGTTAGCTTTAACCCCCTCCTGGCCCCCTAGGAGCCTGACCAGGCCTCGGGCAGCCTGGACCGCGCGATCCAAGGGAGGAAGGCCAAAGGTCCGGCTGCAGTGAGAGGGTGACTGGGGTCACTACCTGGTCCACCCTTGGGGTTTGGGGCGGGGGGGACGCTCGTTTAGGTAGCTTTTTGCCAGGGGAAGGGCCAAAGGGGGAGCCTCCCTCCGGCATTACTGGCGAAGGGAAGTAGTGGCCTCTAGTGGTCAGAGCAGAAGGAGGCTTTGGCTGCCGAGAGGGGGAGGGGGCAGAGGGGGAAAGAGAGGAAGGATTCTTGGATTCTAGACGGGATTAATAGCTTGTGGTCTGGGGGCCGAGGATGAGGAATCCTGAGCCTGGGTGGGAGGCTCTGTGGTTGACAGGTGAGACCGGAGAGCAATACACTAACGTTTCTTTTCTAGATTTCCTCATTATCATCTCCTGGAAACCTTTTCCAGAAAATGAGCCTAGTCTTCCCCAGTCGCCAGTGTGGTTACAATGTTCCTTTCCCTTTGGGAACGGAGGGGGAACTCTCCCTCCTTGGCCATTCCCTCCCTCTTCTCCTTACTCTGCCTAAGGGAATTTCCTTGTTAAAAGCGGCCCACCCGAAGACTGTCCCCAGCAGGAACTCCCCACCACCCTCCCGTTTCATACCCATGCCACATTCTGGTGAATTGGGCACTTTTCCAAGGGGGCCGAACCCAACAGGCATTTCTACCCCAGCAGCCTGAAGCTCTCTCTTCATGCTGCGGTTCCCCCCCACCCCCCCATACTCCTAGATCTCCTCTAGGAATTAAAGGAGGAGACTAGGCTCCCCAGTTGCAACCAGAGAGGGCAGAATTCTCTGTGCTGGCCTTAGGAAAACTAGACCAAGCTTTTTGCCCTTTGTCTGGTCCCCAAAACGGGGCCTGGAGAGAAAGAAACTTGCTTTTGATAAAATGTAAATTCTTCCCCTAAACGGAAAGCAAAAAGGAAGGGGAGGGGCCAGGTAAGCTAGGTCTTGGCTGCTTAGGTCTTTTGACCTCTATGATTTTCTGTGTTTCATGTTTTGAGTATAAGTTCCAGAGGATATAGAATTAAAAAGGACCTTAGAGGTAAATTTGTCCAATTCCCTTATTTTACAAATGAGGAATGTGAAGAGGAAGTGACTTGCCCAAGGTCACACAAGTAGAGAGTAGCTGAGTCAGGATTTAAAAACCCTGGTCTTCTGATTCCATTTCCAGTGTTCTTTCCCCCACTTGTTCAGTCCAACTCTTCACGACCCCATGTGAGGTTTTCTTGGGAGAGACGTTGGAGTGGTTTGCCATTTCCTTCTCCAACTCATTTTACAGATGAAGAAAGTGAGGCAAACAGGGTCACACAGCTCGTAAGTGTATGACACCAGATTTGAATTCAAGTCTTCATTACTCCAGGCCTGGTGCTCCATCTGTTTCACCACTTCTTTCCTGTCTGGGGGTAGGGAACCCGCAGCCTGGAGGCCAGATGTGGCCTTCTAGTTCCTTCGGTAAAGCCTTTAACTGAGTCCCAAGTTTTACAGAAAAATATCCTTCTATTAAGGGGATTTGTTTTGTGAAGTTTGGATTCAGTCAAGGGGCCAAACTTGAGAACCTCGAGAGCCATATGTGGCCTCGAGGCCACAGGTTCCTCACCCCTGCACTACACCACAAGGTGCCTCATAGTCCAACTCTGCTTACATGTCCACACACTAATAGTCACACAATCACCTGTGTACGCACCTTCTCATATAATGGCAGATGCCTTGTAATGATTCTCTTGTAGTGGTGGGGGAGGGAGAGGTGGGATGGCCTGAGTTAAGGCTGGTCAAGTCAAACTGTGGCTGAACAGGTTAGACATCATAACAATAGTTTGCATTTATATAATGCTTACCTCCTGACAACCCAGTAGGGAAGCTAGTTCAAGTGTTATTATCTCCATTTTACAGATGAAGAAACTGAGGCTCAGAGAAGTTTAGTTTTTTGTCCCCCCCCCCATGATCTTACAATTAATAAATAGTACCTTCTAGGGAAGAGAAGCCAAGGCCTTCTGATTCCAAGTCAACTTCTCTGTCCAGTAGACAGTCGTCACTTGGGTTGAGAAGGGACAAGAACGTGTAGTTTTGGGGGGGAAAAGACTCTAGGATGATGTGATTTCTACCTTCAGGTAACTGAGGGGTCATCCTGGGAAGGTGATGTAGAATTAATCTTCAAGGGCCAAAGTTAGGGTCTTCCCTCCAAAAAGAACATTTCTAATCATTAGACCTCTTAAGGGAGGGAGTGGGTCACTGCAACTGCTGACCTCCCTAACTTCTTTTAAACCCAAACTAAAAAATCCCATCTTTTCCTTTTTTAAACCCAACTAAAATCCCATCTCCTACAGAAAGTCTTTCCCAATCTCTTAATTCTAGCACCTCCCCTCTGTTAATTAGTTCCTATTTATCTTTTATGTAGTTTGGTTTTGAATATTTTTGTTCACCTGTAGTCTGCTCCATTAGATTGTAAACTCCTTGAGGGCAGGGACTGTCTTTTCCACCCCTTTGTGCATTCTCCAGAGATGCTATCTGCAGAAGGCATTCCTGGGTTGGGTAGGAAGTTGCTGTAGAATTTCTAGAGTTTCCCTTCCAGCTCTGCAGTTTCTATGCTTCCCAGGACAAGAACCCAAAGGGAATTTGGAGGATCTCTGTCCATCTCACCTGTCTGTCCAAGGATGAGATGAGTTGGGTAGGAGGAAGAGCAAGCAGCTGTAAGAATGATCCCAGAATCTGAAACTTCAAGGCAGCAACTTTGGAGGAGGCCCAGAGTTACCCTGCCCCTAGCATTACTCAGTAATTAGCTCATCAAACTAATTTCTCTTCAGGAAATAGTATTATTATAAATTTCTGAAGACTTCCCAAAGAGCACATGGATAAGGGATGATTGGAAGTTGGTGAAAGGTGGTAGTCCCCAACACACAACACACATCCCTAGGGAGTTGGCAATCCATAGTATAATGGCAACAACAAAACAAAAACAAAACTCTGGAATTAGATGATCTGTATTCAAATCCCACTTTTGCTACTTACTACTGATGCTTTACCCATCTAGGACCCAGCTCATCTGAAAAATGAAGGAATTGACTAGATTCCCTCTAAGGTCCCTTCAAACTCTAAATCTGTTATCCTTTAAGTAGGAAGTTTTATGAAGTTTGGCTGAAGCCCCTGTCAAGGAAGACAAACTCTGGCATAGTCTCTGCCCCAACCGAAACGGTCATCCAATCTTGACAGTCCTGGGGATGGGGGTGGGGCAGAGAGTTATAGTTAGGGACACTACAACAGTTAACTAATTATTGTTATCACAATGCTCCTAGCTGTTGTGATGATGACAAAACACCTGTATTTCAAAGTGCTCAGCAGCCTTTAATTACTGTTATTTTTCTAGAGATCTCTGCAAAGCCTCCCTGTCATTGAATTTCAGTGATTCCCCAGTGGTTTTTCTCTGGATCTGCAGGTCTTTCCATCCACTGGCGGGTTGTACGAAGATGGTACAATAGAAAGAGCACTGTATTTGGAGTCAGAGCAACCAGATTCAGAAGTCATCTTGGTTATTTATCACCTGGGTGATCTTGAATAACATACTTCACCAATCTGGGCCTCCTTTCTTATCTTTAAGATAAGGTAGTTGCTACTGTTGCCTCCAGCTTTAAATTCTATTAAATTCCCAATGCCTGCAAGGCTGAAGTTGACTCTCACTCAGCCTCACCCAGCCTATGCCCATGTTGTCCTGCTGGGAGAATAGGTCCTACCATCCATACAGGGACAAGAAGGATACAGGATCCTTCATCAAGAAGAGACTTCCAAAGATCATGGAAACCGGCCTTCTGTGTTTGAGCAAGCAAGTCCTAAAACCAGGCCAGAAGAGAAATTCTCTGGAATAAGCCAACCAACCAAACTTTCATTATGAAAATAACTAGAGAGTACCAGAACTGTGGGTACCATTTGAGGTTGGATAGGGCCTACACAAAACCAAACAGTAGTAATGACATATTGAATTGGGTCCTTGGCAAGGGTAGATGTGACCCAGTGAACTAGGGCCAAGAGGAAGGGAGAGAATTGTATAAAGCTCAATCTCTAGCCGGTTTGGAGCTGATGGAATGGAGACAAGGTGAAAGGGAAGGGAAATTTCTATAATGAAGAACCAAAGGGAGAAGACATTCAGATTTCTCCACCCACATCCCTTTTTCTCAAATTGCCCCCTATGTTGGAGAGAAGAGTAGGTGTTCGGGCCAAGCAAATAATCAGGAATTTGTTTAGAGCAGCAGGGAGGCCAAGGAAAACGGTTTATTTTTAGGAAATAGCATAGGACACAAAGCAGCCAGTACTACAATCAACCTTTGATTAGCTCCCCTGCAATGGAAGTGTTCAAGCAGAGACAGGATGACCATCTGTCAGAGATGCTGCACGGGGCATTCTTCTAGCAGATATAAGGTTGAACAGACCAGATGACTTCTAAAGTCACTTCCAACTCTGAATGTCTATGATTCTATAATCTGTGCTCATGGATGATGTTAGTATCATGCATAGTCTAAAACTGGACAGTGGAAGACTCACTGCTATAATTATATGACAGTTGATTTTCTCTGCTCCCTCTCTGTTCTCGTCCCCATCCCAGCCCACCTACTACCCAGATTGGGCACTGGGTGCAGTGCAGGAGCCCTGGAGAGTCCTTCCCCTCGACTTTCCTTCAAATACCCGTTTGTCACTTCCCTCCTTTTGGCTGGATACTGATTCTCCATTTTTACCTCCTTGGAAGGGAACCCAGAATCTTCCTGCTGCGCTCTGACCCTCAGGTTCGCTTACCAGTGATCTCGGGCCAGGACCTTATCTTCTACCCATCTACTAGGGATGGGGCTACTTATATACTATGTGGATGAACAGGAAGTCACCAGTCTTTCTGTTAAGATGGAAGATGATCTGGCCATGTAGAAATCTGTTTTGCTTGACCATGCATGTTTGTAATAGGGGTTTTGTTTTTCTTGCTTTCTTAGTAGGGAGGTGGGGGGGGGCATAGGGAGATCAGTGGA